GGTCCCTGTGCTTTGCTAAGCTTGTTCTAAGTAGGTGCTTTAAACCACTGAGCCATCTCACCAGCCCCTTGATTGTGTTGTTTTAAGAAATAAAACTTAGTTTGCTAGAATCCCATTTGTCTGGTTTAGCTTTTGTTTTTAGGGCTTGTCAAAAATTTATTACCAGAGTGGGCCAGATATCTTAGCGGATTAAAGCACCTGCTTAGGCAGACCCGGGGACGGGGGATGGCGTGCTATGCCAGCCCCACCCCTGGGGCACAGTGAGACAGCAATTGAGACGGCATGGTGGCACTCCCAATGCTTGGGAAACTGAAAACAGGAGGATCACTAGAGTCTGATCTGTCTAGTGAGACCCTGTAGACCCTGTACTAAATATATCCAAAAAAGCAAAAACAAAACTACCTTGGGCTGGATAGATAGCTCAGTGGTCTAAGTGCCTGCCTGGCAAATGCAAGGTCCCGAGTTCAGTTCCTGGTATCACATGCCATGCCAGCCCCAGAAACCAGCTGTTGTGGCACACACTGGGGCCTGTATTTTCAGCACTGGGGAGGCTGAGTCAGGAGGATCACTATGTCTGAACTGTGTAGCAAGACCCTTTATCAACAACAACAAAAACTTATTAACTTTACTAATGTCTTGAGGTGTATCCCCTATGGTTTTTTTTCTGTGTTTTGTTTGTTTGTCTTGTTTTTTTTGGAACCAGGGATTTAACTCATACCCTTGCGCTTGCCAGGGAAGCACTTATTCCACTGAGCCATCTCTCCGGTTCCAGTTTGTTTTGCTTTGAGACAAGGACTCACTATGCAGCTACACCTGGCTATATTTTCTTCTATACTTTCATAGTGTTAAGTCTTACTTTTAGGTCTTTGATACATTTTAGGGTGACTTTTTTTTTTTAGGGTGATTTTTTAATTTGGTTTTTGGTTTGTATTTTGTTCTGTTTTGAGAGGCATGTGCAAGACTGGTGTTGTGGTGCTTCCTGTTTTCTTCTTTTTGTTCAATATTTAGCCGGGTATGGTGGTAGATGCCTGTAATCCCCGTACTCTGGAGGCTGAGGTAGTAGGATCCTTGTGAGTTGAGACCAGCCTGGGTTACAAAGTGAGCTCAAGGCCAACCTGAACTGTATAGTGAGACCCTGTCTCAAAAAGACAAAACAAAGCAAACAAACGGGGCCGGGGAGATGACTCAGTAGAATAAGCACTTCCCTGGCAAGCGCAAGGGTCTGAATTCAATCCTCGGTTCCGTAAAAAAAAAAAAAAAAAAAAAACCCAAGGAAGATTAATTCCATGTCTTTTGAGATTCCATATGAATTGTAGGATAATGTTTGTTTTTGAGATAGGCTCATACCTATGTTCAGAACTATGGTTCAGATTGGCTTTGAATTCACTAGGTAACCCAGGCTGGCCTTGAACTTTAAGTGAGCCTCCTGCTTCAGCATCCTGAGTACTGGGATTAAGACATGTACTACTATGCCCAGCTGAATTTTAGGATTCTTAAAAAGTATCTCTGAGAAAAACAAACAAAGTATCTCTGGGAAGAAGTCCTTTATTTTTATGATGTTTGTATTAATATGTAAGTCACTTTGGGTAATACCCAAAGCTGTACTTTTAACCATAATTCTCCTGCCTTTCAAGAATCATTTCAGGGGTCCGGGGAGATAGCTCAGTAGAATAAGTGCTTGCCTGGCAAGTGCAAGGACCTGAGTTCAATCTCTGGTTCTGCAAAAAAAAAAAAAAAAAAAAAAAAAAGACTTGTTACAAAAAAATACTATCTATTGTTGCTCCTATTTACAGATGATAAATCTGAGGTTCAGAAATGTTAAGTAG